AAATTACCTACCGATTTCCCCATTACAAATATGTTTTATTTTACCCACCTGTGGACTTTTATTGGCCGTAATAGTCTTTCTGGAAAGCGTCCTAGCTCAGACCGGTGACAGTTTTTAATGCATGACATGCAGCATCATTTCTGTGTCCTCCAGGGACATGAGCCAATAAATACGGCAGAAAGATCACTCCTTCAGTGGCTTATGCATAAACAAAACCACCACGATTTTATGAAACAGTAAATTTAAACGGAGTAGCCCACATCCCCAGCCAACTCCCAGAGGGCCGTGGGGGTCGTGATAGGCACAGTGAGGGTGCTGGTGGGTACCGTGTGCTTGGAGGTGCCCGGAGCCGAGGGGCAGAGGAGCCAAGCCCGCACCTGGGGAGGGCTTGCTGTCTCTGGCCAGATGTCCCTGGCGGGAACTTTCAGGGCAGGGGCGCCAGGTGATTCTGCATGGGGCGCCTCAACAGGCTTGCAGCCATCTTGGGCCACTGAGGGTCCTGTCAGGGTGACAGCTCTGGGTGCGAGGCCCCTCCCATAATCACACACCTGAGCAGAGTGCTGGGCGATGGACAATGGTGATTGATGGACAAGTAGGGTGTCAATCTGCCTCCATATGTCCCCCAGGGAGCTGTGGGTTATGGCTGACTCACTCTGGCACCAGGCCCTGAGCTGGCCCTGGGGTGGGGGACATGCAGAAACATCAGGGGCACCACATCTGGCTGTGAGGACAAGGGCACCCTAAGGGCATCAGCACCGGACCCCGACCTCTGCCTCCAGCCCCTCCTGGGGGGGAGCGTCAGGCTGTCATGAACCAGCACCTCAGCTGTTTCCACGCCCGTCAGCGCCCACTTGTTCCTAGTTTCCAAATCCCTTCTCTTCATACTTAATACCTTAGTAGCAGCACTGCGAAGGCAGGGGTCAGAGGACGGGGGACCCTGCGGGGGCTGGTGGGCCACCAGCAGCCGGGTGAAACCAGACAAAAACTGGTCACACAGCAGATAAACTCCTCTAAGCATAAATATTTATCATGAATATTTCCAAACGTACCTACAAGTGAGAGACGGTGTAACCACCTCCACTTAACATTTCACAGTCGCCAGGTTGCTGCTGATGCTTTTTGCTGACGTGTGCTTTTCCACTGCCAGCCCACATGGTCCTTCACCCCTAAATGTCAGGATTCGTCACCCCCAAGAATACATAACCACACGCTGGTCTCACACCTGACAAAATTAACCAAATTTCCTCCATATTATCCAACACGAGTCTATACTAATGCCCCTTAAGTTCCCCCACACTGCATTTGTTTGGAGCGTCTCTGGACTCTCATAATCTAGAACGTACCACCCACCTCTTTGAGCTGCTGTCAACGCAGGGTCCTCTGGTCTATGGAAGGCCCCACGTGCCGGATTTGTCCAGCCGCTTCCTCACAGCATATCTTGTTCCTCCTTTCCTGTAACCTGGGATTCACACCTGAAGGATCCGTCGTGGGGAGGGGGCGCGTGGTGCTGGCTGTCTCACTCACGGCCATCAAGGCCTGAGCAGGGGGCTCAGGATGTGACAGCCCAGTCCCCTCATTACAGAGCTGACTGTCCACTCATGAGCAGCAGGCATCTGCAGCGCACAGTTCTGTTCCTGCAGATAAACGTTCTCCTCAGCCCATCTGCCGTCTCATCGTCTGCTGATGGTCATTGTCCAGATTAACTTCTCCTGTGTGTGGGGGGGGGGGGGGGGGNAAGAATTTCAAGGCAGTGACAGCGACTGTTAAATCCAGTTCAGCGGCCTTCCAAGCTGGGCCACAACTGCACAGGCCACGCGCCCGGCAACCGCCCTGACCAGTGATCCTCACCTGGTAGGAAGGGCTCAGGTTTCTTTCTCCATCCAACACCGAGACACACACGCGCGCGCGCGCGCGCGCGCACACACACGCCACCTTTCCTTGCAGGGAACTACGGCTGCCACGTGAACCACACTTACTGATGGGCGTGGCTTGCAGCCCTCATGCTGGGACAGAACTAAAGGGTTGAGTCCCCAGGTTTGGTCACCTGCTCGTCTGCAGCACTGACCCCAAGCCCCAAGCCTGTGACGGGACCCCCAGCGGGGCACGCCCAGAGATGACTGTTCTCAGGAAGGCTTTGCAGCTGCCACTCCACTGTTACGGCCCGTCGTGCAAGCACATCTTGGCATCGCCCGCATGTCCCAGCTGTTTGCGTCGGCCCTCTGCTGACATGGAGAGGCCTGCAGGGGATTTAGGAGAGCGGACTGGTGCGCACGTGTGTGTGTGTGCACATAGGTGTGTGCGTGTGCGTGCAGGCAAGGCTTAGTCTGGACGCGGATGTGTGCAGATATGAGCCTTGGGCCCGCTGGGTCTCACTGGAGGAACCAGAGGCCTCTCGAGACGCCACCACAAACCTGGGAATCCTCGTGTCAGGGAGCAGCTGAGGGCGCCTCCCCGGGGTCGGTAGGGCACCTCTCCCAACCTCTCCCTTCTTCCGCAGCGTTCGTGACGTCCTCTTTCTCACACTTTGCAGTATGCAGGGGAAGTCCCCGAAAACCGGGTGGAGACGGTGGTCGCAAACCTCACCGTGATGGACCGAGACCAGCCCCACTCGCCCAACTGGAACGCAGTCTACCGCATCATCAGCGGGGACCCCTCGGGGCACTTCAGCATCCGCACGGACCCTGTCACCAACGAAGGCATGGTCACCGTGGTGAAGGTGGGTGCACTGCTCTCTCCCTGCCAGGCCTCCCAAGTTGCGCCCCTGCCACAAGCCCGAGGACAAACTCAACAGAAGTGGTACTTGGGTTAAGGGCACACACCCCCGGCCCCCAACATCCACAGACAAAGGACTGTACCCAGCCTGCTAGTGGCAGAGGCAGCCTTCGCGAGAACCTGGGCATGTGACCTCTGGAGCCGGCAGCCGACCTGCCATCCTCCCCCTACAGCAAGTTCCTCTCCCACCCCCTCCCTGAAGGCCTTATGTTGTTCTTTAATCTGTTAATGGGTGGATTCCGTCAGACTCTGTGATGGTAAACCATCCTTGCATTCCTGAGACAAAGCCGGCTTCGCCATGGCGAAGTGTTTCTTTGTGACACATTGTAGGGCTTGTTTTGCTGATGTCTGAAGATTTTGCTTGTATTTTTCTGAGCAATTTAGGCCAATACTTTTCCTGTTCCAGACTGTCTTTATCTAGGTTTTGGTACCAAAATTATAGCGTAATCTCAAGAAATGTGTTGGGGACGGGGAGGGCTTGATTACCAAGGGGCAGCGGGAGGGAACGTGGGGGTGGGGCTCCTGGACCTTGGTCACAGTGGCGGACATGTGACTCCGTGCACTTGTCAGAATTGTTGCGTAAGTCTTAGCGTATGGAGGTTCTAAATAAGTTTTAAGTGTTCGAGCTGAGAGCACACACACAGCCGCATGGCCC